TTCTTTTGTGCAAGGCTGGGTGCACGCGTGATGCTGGTTCCATTTTTGTGTTGCATGAATTAACATCAGAGGCTTTAAGTGCCCCTTCTCCTGGTTGCGGTCCAGCTGGGCTTGTGTGTCCTTCCACACTGGGGTGTCTCAGGTTATGTGCAGACAGTGGGGAGTCCAGCAAGAGGACTGGGAGGGAGCAGGGTTGTAAGTAGGGTCCCAAGCCTTACAGCTCATACATCTCCTGGTTCTTTATGATCAAATGAGTTCAAGTGTCCATGGAAAGAATCAATAAACAGTCTAACAGGAATAAAAGAGTTTTATTTGAGCCAAGCTGAGCACTATAGCCTGGGAGGCAGCCTCTTAAATAACTCTAAAGAACTGCTCTGGTTTTCTTTTTTCTTTGGCCCTGCTGCATGGCATGCGGGAGGAGGGGAGTGTGCAGGGTCCTTAGTTCTCAAACCAGGGATCGAACCCATGCCCACTGCAGAGGATGCACAGAGGACTGCCAGGGAATTCTCAGAACTGTCCCACTGAAGCATGGCTTCCAGCACAGTCTTGCGCCTCATCCAAACAGAGAACATACATCACACATCACAGGGTGTATTCCTTCAAGTTTCAAAAAGACCGACTTAGTACATAGACAGCGAGACAGCAGGACCCTGGTGTCCGGGAATGGAAGCTTATCTTGGAGAGAGTGTTAATACGGACGCCATGAGAAGGGAGTTACTCATTCTTATCTTCAAACCAGATGCTCTTTACCTCAGTGGTTAAAGCAGATGAGCTGTGAGGGTTAGACAGGCTGTTTTAGTTCACACACAGTTCAAGATGAACCATGTATAAGCTAAAAGACTTCCCCATTCCTCAATATGTGAACATTTTCTCCATTACAAGCAGATAATAATCTTAGAAACTTATGATCTAGTAATTCTACCTGTGAGGATATGCCAAAAAGAACTGAGAGTACACCCATGGTCATAGCAGCATTTTTCACAATAATTAAAACATGAAAGCCACTCAAGTGCCCACTGACCAAAGAAAGGATGAGCCAATGTGTTATGTACGAATAATAGAGTGTTATTCAGCACTAGAAGGGAAGGGAATTCTAACACATGATGGATGCACCTTGTAGATATCATACTCAGTAAAATAAGCATGACTACACTTGGGAACTATTGTGTGATTCCATTTAAGTGAAGTCCCTAGAGTCATCAGATTCATAGAGACAGAAAGTAGAATGGTGATTGCCAGGAACTGGAAAAGGAAAAAGAAGGAATTGCTGTTTAATGGGAACAGAGATTCAGTGTTGCCAGGTGAAAAATGCTCTGGAATTTTGTTGCACAAAATATGGATATACCTAACATGACTGAGGGGCTTTCCAAGTGGCACTAGCGGTAAAGAACCCGGGTGCCCACGCAACAGATGTAGGAGACCTGGATTCAATCCCTGGGTTGGGAAGATCTCCCAGGGGAGGAAATGGCAACCCACTCCAGTATTCTCGCCTGGAGAATCCCAAGGGCAGAGGAGTGTGGCGGGGTTGCAAAGAGTCGGACTTGACTCAAGTGACTTAGCACACACACACACACACCATGATTGAACTGGACACTTAACATGAATTAAATGGTAAATTTTGTTATGTGTACTTTACTACAACAAAGAAAACATCTCAGGGCCTTCCCTGGTGGTAGAGAACCTGCTTGTCAATGCAGGGGACTCAGGTTCGATCCCTGATCCAGGAAGATTCAACATGCCATAGAGCAACTACACCTGTGCCCTGCAGTTCCTGAGCCCATTCTCTAGAGCCAGGAGCCACGGCTACTGAGGCCATATGCCACAGCTGGTGCAGCCTGCCCACCCCAGAGCCTCTGCTGCACAAGAGAAGTCACAGCCATGAGACGGTCCTGCACCGCCTCAGAGAGCAGCCCCCATTCGAGCAACTAGAGAAAGCCTGCGTGCAGCCACAAAGACCAAACACAACCATCAGTAGTCTAGCTAATTAATAAAAAATCATCTTAACTACTTGAAAAAAAATAAAACCCTCTCAGAACCTTCCCCGAGGGTAACCACAGAAGAGTCAGGGCTGATAGAGACACGGCAGATGGTCCCCGCCCGCCCAGCCCCATCTCCACCCCAACAACCCAGGGGTGAGGACTGTCTTCTGTGCTCAGGACTCCCCGCTTCGGTCCTTGGAGATGTCTCAGCTCCAGCCCCGCATGGCTTAATCTCAGCCTCCCTGACTGACCCAGTGCTCCAGGCTCTGCTCCAAGGATCCAGTAAGTCTTGGGTCAGCCTCTTCTATGGGAGACTGGGCGCTGAGTTCACATCCTCTCAAAGAGACCTCTGCAACCCCAGAGTGGAGAGGGTCAGCCCGGCTCCAGCCTGAGGGTAGAGAAACCAGTTTTACAGATGAAAACAGGAGCTGGGGGCTCTTGTGTTTTGTGTGAGAATCAGTTGGTGGGGGCGGGGGGATGGGAGGTTGGATCAGTGCCTGGAGGTTCTTGCGTGTGTGCTAAGTCACTTCACCATGTCTAACTCTTTGCGACATGATGGACTATAGCCCACCAGGCTCATCTGTCCATGGGATTCTCCAGGCAAGAATACTGGAGTAGCTGCCATTTCCTCCTCTAGGGGATCTTCCCAACCCAGGGACCGAACCAGCGTCTCCTACGTCTCCTACATTGGCAGGCAGGCTCTTTATCTCTCTTTTTTTTTTGGGCGGGGGGGGGGGAGTTACTTGTGCTCAAACAATAGTGAAGATTTTCCTTATACAGGGCTTATGATATATGGGCCACCCACTTCAGTCTCTTGTATACCACCTGCCTTTTGAATCTATGGGTTCCTCATCTGCTGATACGAGGGAACAGTAAAGGACTTGCATGTCAGCAGATGTTGGTGTCTGGAGGGGATGATGGTAGTTTGTTCAGTCAGTGATATCCGGCTCTTCATGGCCCATGGACTGTAGCACATAGTCCTTCACCATCTCCCGAGTTTGCTCAAGTTAATGCTATGTTGATTTGTATTAAATCACCTTAGGGTTTGTCACACCCAGCAACTCTTCGAAGCTGGTCTCCATTATTTATCATTGGCAACAACAAGATAGTAAAATATACATAACATAATATTTACCATCATAACATTTTTTTTTTTTAAATTCAGCCCCAACACCCACATGGTTCACAGTTCCCCCTTGGGGATCTGTGGGTGGGGGAATTGGGATCAAATGCAGGTCCATGGCAGTGAAAGTTCTCACTCCCAGCCACTGGATTGCCAGGGAATTCCCATCTAAATCATTTTTAAGTGTACACTTCAGTAATGTTAAGTATATTTACATTGCTGTCCAGCCAATCTGAAGAGCTCTTTTGTATCTTGTAAAATGAAAACCGTTCCCCATTTAACAATACCTCCCCATTTCCCCCTTAACCCCAGCCCCTGGCAAACCACCGTTCTACTTTCTGTCTCTATGGCTTTGATTCCTCTCGATACTTCATGGAAGTGGAATCATACAATGTTTGTATAGTGGCGAGTGGCTTAAGGGTGGCTCAGATGGTAAAGAATCTGCCTGCAGTGCAGGAGATCTGGGTTGGGAGGGTCCCCTGGAGGAGGGCATGGCAACCCACTCCAGTATTCTTGCCTGGAAAATCCCCATGGACAGAAGAGTAAGAGGGGTTGCAAAGACGTGACTGAGCAACTAACACACACAGACAAGGGAGTGACAGGAAGCTTTTCCCAAACTTTCTGGGTCTTAATTACCTCTAGCTCATAAAGAATCCGTGAGCCAAAGTGGCACATTTGGGAAGATGTATTCTCGTCCCCCTCACTTCCCTTCAAGCAACTCTTCAAGTAACCTTGAATTATATTAAAATCTTCTTTATGTTTGAAGAAACCAAGGTTCACACAGAGAGAACTTGCCCAATGTGTCCTTTTACCACCTGCTCCCATCACTCCATTCCTGTGTGGAATTGAGCTTCCAGGGTCAAGGGCAGATGGACATCCTTGATGACTTTGTGCCTTGCTTTCTCAGCAGATGTAGCTATGTCTATGATGCTGGGTCAGTATCTACGCCAGTTTGGTCAGAAGCTGGTCCGCAGGAAGCCACAGGAGTTCAGGGAGGAACCTGAGAGTCCCAAGTTCCGTCCTCCGGGCACCCTGGACCTGGTGATAGGCTTGGACAACATGTTGGGAGCTGGCATATACATCCTGATTGGAGGAGTGGCCAAATTCGTAGCTGGACCAGCAATCATCCTTTCCTTATTGGTGGCCGGCCTGACTACTGTGTTGTCTGGGCTCTGCTATGTCGAGTTGGCAGCCAGAGTAAAAGGACCTCGTTCTGGGTATTTCGTGAGCTATGTCACAATGGGACAACTGTATGCCTTCATCACTGGCTGGAACCTCTTACTGTATTTGATTATTGGTGAGATGATAGGGGGGAGGAGAAGTGGGCCTTAAGATGGAGAAAGTAGGAGAGATGACTGGGGGCTCCACTCACTGATCAGAACTTTGTTATCCACCTTTGGGGCAGAGTTGGGAGAGGGGTAATGGTGGCAGGAAAACTGCACAACCTCATTGCATGCAGGTCTATCCAGCTTTCCTTAAATGGTGGACAGAGAAACCAGAGGAAAGGAGCTGTAAGGAGTGGCTGAGAGGGAGGCAAGTCCCTAGGCTCATCCCCTGACCACAGTGAAGTCTTTGCTCAGCTGTTGCCTTCCTGGATTTTCCCTTACACCTCAATTTAAAAATTCAACTCTGATCTAGTCCCTCCTACTCCCATTTACCTGTGTTTCTTTGTTTTCCATCACTTCTATCTCCTAGCATGTTAAATAGTTGGGCTTTTTGTGAATCACAAATAGTTGGACTTTTGTGAATCACCTGGGTCTCCCTTCTCCACCCCATGAAAGGCTCTTTGAGATCAGCTGTTTTTTTTTGCTCACCTCCTGCCCCAAATGTCTCACATGGCACATAATAAGGGTTCAGTTTCTGTCTGCTTCTAAACATTCCTCCTTCTGTTGCTGCAGCCACTGCCTGTATAGCCCGGGCCTGGAGCTCCACCTTTGACAGCCTGATTGGGAACCATATCTCTGAAGCATTAGGGGGAACTTTCTCTCTGCAAATGCCCTACTTCCTGGCCTCGTTTCCAGACTTTCTTGCCCTGGGCCTGGTGCTGCTGCTCACAGGTGAGAAGACACCAGAGGCAGAAAGGGAAGAGTGGGGTATGGAGGGGGAACTGGCATGGGGAAGGCTTGGGGTGGCAGAAAGGTGGGGAATTAGGACTGGGAAAGGGGGTTTGGAATAAGAAAGAAAGGAAGGCAAGATATGTTTTCCTACCCTTGGACTATTGGTAATTCAGATTCAATCATTCTTTGGTGTGGGGTGATGTCCTGTACATTTCTGCTTTATAAAAAAAAATCATTGTTGGGGGAATTCCCTGGTGGTCCAATGGTTAGGACACTGTGCTTTCACTGCTGAAGGTTTGGGTTCAATCCCCGGTCAGGGAACTAAGATCCCACATGCCAAGAGGGGTACCACCCCCAAAATCATTGTTGGATGTTTAGCAGCATCTGTGATCTTTATGTACTAGATACCAGTGACACCCAGCCCCCAAATTGTGACAATTGGAATGTCTCCAGACAGTGCCAATATCCCTTGGGGCACAAAATCATCCCAGCTGGGAATCACTTACCTAGACCAACAAGTTTCTTCCTCCATACTGAGATCAAATATTTTTTTTAAACTGAGAGGAAATCCGCATGAATTTAACCATTTTATTATTTTTCCTACCTTTATTGATATATAATTCACTTCATGGCAAATAGATGGGGAAAAATTTGAAACAGTGAGAAACTTTTTTTTCTTGGGCTCCCAAATCACTGTGGATGGTGACTGCAGCCATGAAATCAAAAGGGACTTGCTCCTTGGAAGAAAAGCTATGACAAACCTAGACAGCATATTAAAAAGCACAGTCATCACTGCTGATAAAGGTCCGTAAAGTCAAAGCTGTGGTTTTTCTAGTAGTCATGTACAGATGTGAGAATCAGACCATAAAGAAGGCTGAGTACCAAAGAACTGATTCTTTTGTTTGTGGTGCTGGAGAAGACTCAAGAATCCCTTGGACTGCAAGGAGATCCAACCAGTCAGTCCTAAAGAAAATCAGTCCTGAATATTTATTGGAAGAACTGATACTGAAACAGAAGCTCCAATACTTTGGCCACCTGATGGGAAGAACTGACTCATTGGAAAAGACCCTGATGTTGAGAAAGACTGAGGGCAGGAGGAGAAGGGGACGACAGAGGATGAGATGGTTGAATGGCATCACTGACTCAATGGACATGAGTTTAAGCAAACTCTGGGATATAGTGAAGGACAGGGGAGTCTGGCATGCTCTAGTCCATGGGGTCACAAAGAATCAAACATGACTGAGTAACTGAAACACAACAACAACTGACACACAGCATTGTAAAAGATTAAGATGATTTGATAGACATGCATATTGTGAGATGATGGTCACAGTAAAAATATCCATCTGCAAGTGTCCATTAGTGCACTTACTATATTCCCAGTGCGGTGTAACCACCACCCCATCTAGTACCAAACATTTTCATCACAACAAAAGGAAACCCTGTACCCACTGAGCAGTCACTGTCCATCTGTCCACAACCACCAACTGCCAGCCCTGGGCACCTACTAGTCTGCTTTCTGTCTCTCTGGATTTAGTTATTTATTTCTCTAGCCTCACTGCAATGCATGGGGAACTCCCAGAGGAGGGATTGAACCTATACTCCCTGTAGTGGAAGCTCAGGGTCTTAACCAATGGACTGTGAGGGGAGTCCTGGATTTAGTTATTTTGTTGTCTCATTTTCCATTTTTCCCACAGGACTACTGGCTCTGAGAGTTTATGAGTCAACCCTGATTAACAAAGTGTTCACAGGTTTGAACATTTTGGTTCTCAGCTTCATCATCGTCTCTGGCTTCATTAAGGGAGACCTGGACAACTGGAAGCTCACAGAACAGGACTATACATTGGCTGCAGCTGGAGCTGGTGATGCCTCTAGGTTAGGAGGGCACACTTGGTCGTAGTAATGCATGTGTGTGTGGTGTGCAGAGTTGGGAATATGGTGGGGACTAATGACACCTGGGCTGATGGTCCACGCGTGGGGGTCCCTGGAGCCCTGGGTTTGTGGTACTAAGGGAGGAGCCCAGTAGAGATGGCTGGACACACTTCACCCACGTTCCTCCTCTTTCCTCCTCTCACCATAGCTTGGGCCTTCTGGGTTCTGGAGGGTTTGTGCCTTTTGCTTTTGATGGAATTCTCCAGGGAGCAGCTACATGTTTCTACACATTTGTTGGTTTTTCTGGCATTGTCACTGCAGGTAACATGGGCCTGGTGTGTCCCATCAGGGGTTTAGGAACAGAATGGGCTGCCCCTGGGCACAGGGGTGGGTTGAAGTTTAGGTTGCTTTTGAAGCTTGAAGAGTACAGTGGGTTTGGTGATTTCACCCCAGTGTGTTTACTGACCCAATACCTCCTCTCATCCTGAAGGGGTAAAAGCCAGCAATCCTCAGTGGTCCATCCCTTTGGCTGTCATGATCTCCTTCTTCATCTGCTTTTTGGTGTGTTTTGGTGTCTCGGCGGCCCTCACCCTCATGGTGCCCTACTACCTGATTCAGCTTGAGAGCCCCTTGCTGCAAGCCTTCGTCTATGTTGGGTGGGAGCCTGCCAAATATGTAGTGGCTGTTGGCACCCTCTGCATTCTTTCCTACAGGTCAGTGTCATGGTTTTCTCCTCCTCTACTCTCAGATGCTCAGGTATCCCCAACCCTTGGGACTGAGAGATGAGAGAGAAAGACATCTTGCCCCAGGTAGACCAGGGAGCAAAAGCCCTGGTCTCTGCTGCTTCTGCACCTTCTCACACATTCCCATTTTCTCTTCCAGCCTTCTGAGTATCATGTTTATCATGGCTCAGTTGACCTATTCAATGGCAAAGGATAGGCTCCTTTTCCCGGGACTTGCCTGGATCCCTGCCCCCACCGATGCCCGCACCATCATTATCAGCACCCTCATTGTCCGCACCATTGCCCCCAGAGGAACCCCTATCATGGCCGTCTTGGTTCCTGGAGCTCTTGCAGGTGAACAAACAAAACTCACCCTTTTAAAATCATACTTCTTAACGTGCATTTTTCCAGTGGTTTCTCACTCTTCCCCCACCTTCTTTGCTCCCTCATCCCAGCGGTCATGGCATTACTCTTCGACTTCACTGACCTGGTGGACCTCATGTCACTTCGGTCCTTGCTGGCTTACTCCCTGGTGACATTTTCTGTCCTTGTCCTCAGGTGAGACCCCAAAACACCTCCACTTGGGGTGGGGGCGGTCTTTGACTTATGAGGGTTGATGGGGAGGTAATCGTCTTCTACCTTCATGCTGCCTCCTCAATGTCCTGCTACCATTGATTGGGAAAAGAGAGGCATTAGACAGACTGATGTTGGATCAGCAGTAGGGGCTGTTACTAATATTGCTTTAATATTTCTAATTCAGGCATCAACCGGCCCAGAATGGAAGCAAGAACGAGAAAACAGAGGAGGAAACTGAGATGGAGCCTGAAGTTGAAGGAGGTCCTTTGGAATCTGAACCTGAAGCAGGAATCTCAGGCATTCTGAAGAGTCTATGGTTCCCTACCAGCACTATCCCCACCCAGAGATCTGGCTAGATTGTCTATGGATGTGCCTCCCTGCTTGGTGAGCAGTGGGATTTCTCTTTGGTCATATTCTGAAATTGACAGGATGGTACTGGAGTGTGTATTTTGCCAGTTGAGGAGTCTTGGAGATATGATGGCCCCTCCTGATGTGGGCAGCATGGGGAGGGGTGTGACCCGAGGTCCTGACGTCTTTGTTGTCTGAGTCCAGCCTGTTCTCCTCCACCTTGCCCCCTGCAGTTCTCCTGCTGATAATCCTGAGCCTGATCCTGGCCCAGTGCCCCACCCAGGTGTTCTCTGGAGACCCTGTGCTCGCAACAGTGGCTGTGCTGCTGCTGCTGCTCATCACTGGGGTCACGGTCATCATCTGGAACCGACTCCAGGACCCCTCTCCTCTTATGTTCAGGGTAGGTGTCCTTATGTGCCCAAAGTGTCCACCTTGAGTGAAGGAGGTCTGCATGCTTTAGGTCTAAACATCCTTTGCTGGACCAGGGAAGAAGGGGAGTTGCTGAAACCAATGGACCCTTCCCTGATCCACACTCAGAGCTTTACAAACTCAGTCTCACTAAGCACTGAGCACACAGTCTGAGAAGAACTGGAGTCTTCCTGCCCACATGGGGTAGGGTCTCCCTTTCAGATATCTGGGGTGTTCAGGAAGGAGCTGACTTTGCTCACAGGTCCCTGCTTTGCCTGTCATCTTCCTGGTGAGCACCTATGTGAATGTTTACTTGATGATACAGATGACCACTCAGACCTGGGTCCAATTTGGCATCTGGATGGCGATTGGTAAGTGGTTGTCTGGGTAAAGAGGTTTCTTGACTGACGGAGCCCAATACTCTTTCTACTACCTCCCCCCTGAACTGTGTCAGACACCATGATAGGAGACCTATTGGGCATTTGTAAGTGAGGGGAGCACCTACTTTCCCCTCATCATCTCATTTCCCTTCTAGGATTTGCCACATACTTTGGATATGGGATCCGACACAGCCCGGAGAACAATGGGACATAGCCACCAGCCTCCACTTCCCAGATTAACAGAAATATCCCTAGTGATGAATCATCTTAACCACAGGAAAGAGATGCTATGTGGAATCCCTCCACGCACTGGAGGATCTGCTGGTTCAAGGGACACTGTGAGTCTCTATGGAGCATGAAGGTGGATGCATCATTGCCAGTGGACAAAGTGACTTCAATGTTTTAAATGCTGAAGTTTATATTTAAAAGCATAATATACATCCAGAAAAGTGCATTTTCATCCAGAATGTACAAAAATGTAACCAGAAACCAGAGAAAGAAATAAAATATTAACTTGAACAGGCACTGCCTCCTTTTGCCTGTTTGCATTGGAAATACATAAATTGTCACATGGTAAGGAAACACAGGTTACCACATATTGTGACAAGAAAGTGAAAGTCATTCAGTCATTTCCAACTCTTTGTGACCCCATGGACTACATAGTCCACAGAATTCTCCAGGCCAGAGTACTGGAGTGGGTAGCCTTTCCTTTCTCCAGGGGATCTTCCCAACCCAGGGATCAAACGCAGGTCTCCTGCATTGCAGGTGGTTTCTTTACCAGCTGAGCTACCAGGGAAGGCCAAGAATACTGGAGTGGGTAGCCTATCCCTTCTCCAGGGGATCTTCCTGAGCCGGGAATCGAACTGGGGTCTCCTGCATTGCAGGCAGATTCTTTACCAACTGAGCTATCAGGGAAGCCCATATTGTGACAAAGAGTTGCACTTTAGGGGGCTTTCCTGGCAATCAAGTGGTTAATACCTTGCCTTCGTATGCATGGGGTGCCAGTTTGATCCCTGGTTAGGAAACTAAGATCCCATATGCCTCAAAACATAAAACAGAAGCGTAAAAACGTTAAAAATTGTCCACATAAAGAATATATATATATATATATATATATATTTTTTTTTTTTTTTTTTAAAAAGGAAAAAGAGTTACACTTAAGGTATTCCCTGGAGGTCTAGGAGTTAGGACTCAGCGTTTTTATTGCCTTGGCCAGGGGTCTATCCCTGGTCGGGGAACTAAGATTCTAAAAACTGTGCAATGTGGCAAAAAAATAAGGAAAAAAAAAGGTTAAAAATGAATTTAAAAGAAAGAATTTCATTTTCTTAAATTGAAAATCTAATCGGCTTTATTCAACAACTCATGAATTTAAATATGTGCTCATAGTCCCTTTTTTTCTGACAGAGCTTATAAAGTGTTCATGTTATTTTTCTTTATATATTTGATAGAATTTAGTCAGAGAAGTCATCTCAGCCTGGGTTTTGCTTTGTGGGAGGATTTATAATCACCAATTCTTGTCCCTGTTATAAGGTGACTCAGATCTTTCTTTAGAAAAAAGAGTTGCAGTTTAAACACGAGAAAAGAGATAGGTTGGAAATAGAAGGAAAGGAACAGATACATCATGCAAACAATAACATAGAAAGCTAGCATAGCAATATTAATATCAGACAAAGTACATTTTAGGAAAAAGAACATAATAACAGATAAAATGGGTAATTTACAGTGAGAAAGATAATCATTTTCATCTTTTCCTCCAGCTTCACTGAGATATAGAATCACACTGTGTAATAAACACTTTACTTTTCTGTCACAGACTCTTAGAGTTACACAGTACAGTTGATGAGGAAAAGTTCTTAACTGGAAAAAAAAAAAAAAAAGCCTCCTGTATTGCCAGGGGTGGGTGAAGGGGATGGGAAGTAGTGGTTGGTTGATAAATGGTTAGAGTTGAGTGGAACTAACAGATGGGAAGTGAAACTGGAAAGTGAAAGTAAGAAGGTGTTGCTGCAGAACAGAATGCTTGAAATTGAGATTGTAGACGTTGAAGATGTTGGTAATAATGAAGTGGAGGGCTGTGTGTGGGAATGAGCAACTGAAGTAGAGTGAAGGAGCGCTGGAGGTGAAGATATTGAGGAGCAAAGTTATTACATTAATTTTAAAATAGATGGAGGAGGATGCACAGAATTAGGCAAAGTCACCGTCTTGCAAGTTGTAATAAATCAGATTTAGGACACAACTAATGTGACTGATTCTGTTAGGCGAAACTCTGATGGAAGAGGCTGACATCACCTGATTGCTGTTCTTCCCTTACCAGTGGGGGACAACCAGGTATCCCGTGTCACCCCGTGTGCTGTAACAGGCAACACAGAACACCGCCCCAACCACAGCCCTGATGAAAAGCTGAGTCAGAAAGTCATCAAGCCTCTAGATCGACTACAGCTCATCGTGAACATAAGGGACAGATTCATATTTCCATTGAAAACGCAATCAAGGAAAACCAACCTGTTGACAATTCCCCAGGGCAGAAGAATGGTTCCCTTTTTATACCAATTAAATGACATGACCCAGGGCCATAAAAAGGAATGCATTTGACTCAGTTCTAATGAGGTGGATGAACTTAGAGCCTTTAATACAGAGTGAAGTAAGTCAGAAAGAGTAAATATCATATATTAACAGATATGTTTGAAATCTAGCAAGATGGTTCTGATGAACACACCTGTAGGGCAGCAATAGAGCTGCAGACATAGAGACCAGACTTGTGGACACAGTGCAGGAAGGAGAGGCTGGGATGAATTGGGAGAGGAGCATTGAAACATTTCCGTTACCACGTGTAAAACAGATTGCCAATGGGAAGGGACTGTATAACACAGGGAGATCAGACCCAGTGCTCTGTGACAACCTAGAGGGGTGGGGTGGGGTGGGAGGTGAGGGAGGAGGCCCAAGAGGAAGGGGATGTACGTGTACTATGACTGATTCATGGCGATGTATGGTGGAAACCAACATAATATTGTAAAGCAATTATCCTCCAATTAAAAATAAATTTAAATATAATTAAATAAATAAATGATATGACTCAAAGTGAGGAGCTAATACAGGTGTATCTCAGAGATGTTGCTAGTTTGGTTTTAGACAGCCACAATAAAGAGAACATGGTAATAAAGAGAGTCACACAAGTTTTAGTTTTCCAGGGCATGTAAAAGTTGTGTTTACACTACAGTGTAGTCTATTTAGTGTGCAAAGCATTCTGTCCGAAAGGACAATGTACACTCCTTAATTTAAAAG